CAAGGCAAGGCAAGGCAAGGCAAGGCTAGGCTAGGTTTGGAAGCTAACGAGGGCTCTGTAGAGTAGCTATCACTGCTGGCGATAAGCGCATACAGTACTCGGCAGAGAATGGTTGTTGGAGTGAGTGTTATATAGTGAATGTGTGATTGATGACAGCTGTGTGCAATCAGTGCAATGGCTGATGGGATATGTAGTCCGGGATGACATGCAACAGTTTGTGTTGTGCGAGAGTCACTGTAATGGAAGGGTGACCTCTGGTGGTGATTGAACGGAAGTCCATAGACAGGATTCGTGACAACAGCATTGACACATTTATTGAACAGAAATTAATCGAGTTGAACTCAGTTGAACTGAATGACAGTATTGTCTTCTGTAGAAAGTATTGAAATGATATTGCAATCATAATACTGTTGATTTTGCCATGCATATAGCTACTGCTGCTGATATGGTGTTAAATCTTAAGTAAATAAATTGTCTTCTGTAGAGCTGATTATAGCTAAATTGAATTAGTTTCATAATTGATTAATTTTGAAACATTGAAACTGTTATTGAACTAAATTGAGTCAACACTGAATACACACATTTTAAACTAACACTGTTATTTAGCTGTTTATTACCGTGAAGCTGCTTTGAAAGAATCTTTATTAGATGTAGTGCTATATAAATAAATGTGACATGATTTGACTATGTACCATGGTACTAAATGATCACCATATTAATGTACCATGATATTTATGACGATGGTACCTTTTGGTATATCATGTAGCGTCTTTGGACCAATCAGACACACCATTTTTCATTTGATTTAACAAATCAATTATTCATTAGATTAACAAACATTCACAGACCCCGCGGCTCAGATGTCAGGAGTAAATGACGACTGCTATGTTCATTATTACATCCAACAACAAAACACCTCAATCGCTATGGAGCCGTTCTTGTCTACGTCCCTGCTCCGGCGTCGAAATAATACAGGTCACTCAGGGCGGTAAGACGGCCGTGTCAATCAACTATCGTGGGAGGGGCCTGGGTCTGTGTGCCGTCACACAGACAAGAAGCTGAGAACGGCCTGATTTGAAAAAGGGGATATTATTTTGATGTCTTCGAGTTCGAGGGTGGGGCAAACCGAGCCGGACGATTTGGTCAGTCGCACTTTTAAACACATTTTAGTTTTGCTATAGAAAATCTACAAATTCACACTCTGATTACATAGAGCAGCAGCAGGAAGCACGTGAGGTTGTCATGGCAACCAGATACACTGCACACGAATTACGGCGGCGCTTCTATTTTGCCACACTAAACTAAAGCAATAAACACGTTGAAAATAATGCACAATAAACACGTCTGTCAAAACAATCTCAAAGGAGGCTTTTATTAAGCAAATCAAGGAGTGAATTACTCATCCACTGTTTTAAAAAAAAAATACTGGGTTAGCTGGGTTTCCACAGGCAGGGCTGGACTTTGAAGGGGACCTTATAGACTGGAAGGCAGATATAGATGATATAGATATAGTCTATGTCCATAAAACAGGTTCTGAATGAATTATGTTACTGATGCCTAATGCTCAAAAGCAATAGCAAAAGTAATAGGTCAATATTATTAAATTGCAGACAGATTTTGAATAGCTAGTATGGCTTGTACACTATTTTGCCAAAAGTATTGGGACACCCCCTTCTAATGAACAGGTTTGACTACTTTAGTATAAAATACTTTTGTCCATATGTATATACAAGTCATTGGTGTTTGGTTATGAGTTTTTGGCTCAAGGTCTGCATTTAGTCACACCAGAGGTGTTCAGCTGGGATTAGGACTTGGCTTTATGCAGACCAGTCAAGTTCTTCCACACTGACTGAATCAATCTTTTTTTTTT